TACTATCAAAGCACAATAAATAACTTGTCAATTACTATGACGATCTCAGGTCAAAGGAAACTTTTACATCACATTCTTCAAGAGAATATCCTATTACAGTTATGGTAATTCTAACCATTAGGAATTATCCAATGAGTCGGGTCAATGATCATCTCTCTATATGCATCATCTATCTATGTGATTTAGTTAATGAGATCAACTAATCTTTATCCAATAAAGACGATCACATAAATATTGATCTAATTGGATTACTAATGTCCAAATTAATAATCCTACTATCAAGAACAAATTTAGATTAAATTGTAAGAGACTTTGCTCTCATTATCATGATCTCTATCACGATGACAAATCTCAAAATTTAATCAAGCACCTTATCAAATTAATCAAACAATTAATAATTATTATAAAAGAATAACAAATGGCATATATATTTTATATCAAATAACGTTCACAAAAATATATTCAAATCATCAAATATGATATTGGATCTAGGGTATATCTACTGTATCCCTAACATTGACATCCTTTAATGGAGTTAATTTCTGAGACCGAAAAGATTACATGCTTTGGACTGGCGCAATATTATCAACCTTTATGGGGATTCAAAGTCCTTTTTTCATTTGTAAATCTATATTGGAGGGAATAAAAGTCATTACTTGAGCCCAAAATCTACCCCTAACCTGTGATATGCACAAAAATATAAATCCTCTTAACATGATATTAATAGTTAGTTGCCGTCTGTTTTAAAAATATTTACTATAAATGTAATTTACTCTTTTTTCTTTAAAGACAACTTAAATTGAGATTTTACCTAGCTATACTAAATTATCACTTAATTACATTCTCATATGCAAATTACTAATTATATACAAATTAGTGATAATGAGTCTCCTCTTTCCCATTTGTCGATCAAGATTCAAGACCATGAAATTAAAGCTCAAGTGCAATCACTCCGACATCTAAACGAATAAGGAGGTGAGGAAATATTAGAATCAATAGAAGCTTTTAATTCTAAAATTGATTCTAATAGTAAACATAATTAACATCCATTAAATTGGGTTTGGCAAAATTGTTATTTATTTGGATTGGATGTTCTTGCAAATGATTGGAAATATTCTTTAAAGTTTATATCTCGGTGAAGATTCGAGTTGGTTTTGGCTGGAATTTCAGATTGAAACTCAAAGAAAAAGATACAAATAAATTATATATATTTTGCATGTCGGATGTACACACGACATATAAAATATATACAACTAACATAATTATATACATGTTGTACATAAATTTTATGTAAATTATAGCTTTTTGACCAAATTTTATATAAAAAGATATTGTATACAAGTTATATGTATTATAGTTTTTGATCAGATTTTGTACAACAAAAAATTATGTTTAAGTTGTATATAAATTGTAAAAATATTTGATTACTTTTTATAAATAAAAAATCTAGCTTAACTGGGTAAATATTATCCTAATTTTGTACATATACGAAAAAATCCCTCTCTTATTTGATGTCCTAAAAATAGGGGTGTACAAATCGAACCGGAAAATTAAACCAAACCGAAAAGGCAAACCAAACCAATTAAAAAACTCGACTAGGTTTGGTTTTATTTGGTTTGGTATTGAGTAAAAAAACCGAACCAAACCGACATATAAATATATATTTTTTATATAGAATTTTCTTTAAAAAATGTCTAGAAATATTTGGGATTATCTTGTGGGATGTAATATTTAATAGTGTATGAAGTACTCCATATTTATTAACCTTAAATAATGGGTTGTATAATCACTTTCTCATAAAGTGTTACTGAAATGCGTCAATCTCGTTGTTCTTCCATATTCATATCATATGTTAAGATCTGCTAAATTATTATATCATTTTCGAATGTGAAGTAATTATTATTATTTAGGTATTATATTGATTTTTATGTTTAATTACTAAATTCGGTTAACCGTGAAAGTGTACATCAGTTAAACATTATTGTCAGACGACTAAAAAAATAACTATTACTATTTTTTACTAAGAAAATTATCTCATAAGAATATTTTAATATATAATATGTTTGTCAATTTTTATATTTTCACTAAACATATATATTTACTTATAAAAAATTTAACATAGTAAGATTGAAATAATATTTAAGTAACAAAAAACTCAAAAAACCCGTTCGTCAAAACCAAATCAATCCGAACCGATATAATTGGTTTGGTTCGGTTTTTGAACCAACCCGGTTCATGTACACCCTTACCTAGAAACATGGGAAAAAGTTGGAAATCCATAAGAAGGGAGATGATGGATCAAGGAATGGGCCAACCTACTAAGCCCAAATCTCATAGTTTGTGGATCCGTGTACCTTCGGATGATTTTGACAATAAGCTGCATTTTCGGCCAATGATCAAAATATATCCACTATTTATAAAGTAACCGAAAATAGTCACTACTTAAAAATATAATAAAGTAATTGCAAAATAGTCACAGTTCATACTCCAATATTTTTTTCCCTGGAATTCGAACTTTACAAGTAGGGGTGTGAATGGATATTCGAAAACCGACTAAACCGATCGAACCGTACCGTATCGTACCGAACCGATTTTTAGGTTTCTTTTTAAGAAACCGTAGGTTTTTATATAAATCTATAACTACACCGATAATTAGGGTAGGTTTTTTATTTTATAAAAATAAACCGAAAAAATACCGAACCGTACAGAATAAATTTTACATGTGAAAAATATATTTATTTAGTAAGTTTAAAAATAATAATGCATTAAATTTTCTTTGGGCCATGGAATTATGAAAACTATTACAAGTCAACAAGTAATTAAACTCAAAATACTAATTCCTAAAACCTATTATGCTACTTCTACTTAAACNTGGAATTATGAAAACTATTACAAGCCAACAAGTAATTAAACTCAAAATACTAATTCCTAAAACCTATTATGCTACTTCTACTTAAACTAAGTTATTTCAAGTATCTTTATTAGCAAGACACAGTATTCTAGCGATTATGAGCAAACTACAACGTATTGAATATGTTTCCTTTCATATAATTTAGATTTATCTTTTTGAATATTTAATCTTCTATAGACTCTATTCTTGAGTCCCAGCTTGGTATATCTTTCAACTCGTGTGATTATATTTTCTTTGCCTTTGTTTGATTTCTTTTACATTGTTGCAGAATAGTTGATGGATCTATGCTCTAGCCATCTTTCTTTTTCTTTTTTTTTTTAATTCATCACCTCTTAAACAGTAAAAATGTCTAGAGAATTTTTCTAAGTCCTATAAAAGAACGTATGTTATTGCATTCTACTTCTACTGGTAAATTTTACATGATATTAAAAAAAATACCGACAATTAACCGAACCGTACCGATACCGAAGAGAAACTAACATGATTGGGACGATTTCGTAAAGTATAATTTTGGTTATACATAATAGAATAACCGAAAAATTGGTATGGTACAAATTTTATAAAATAACCAGCCGAACCGAACCATTGACACCCCTATTTACATGTGAACACGTCATGAACTTCGAATTTCTTTTATATGAAATTTTACGTACTGTGCAGGAATTCAAACTTTAATACGTAAAACAACCTAACAAATAGAATCAAAGATAAAAGGTATGATAGTGAGAATGCATCCATGAAAATCATCCTATCACACTGGATGGGTTCAATTGAATCCATAACTTTCGACGCGGAATAAAAATTTATATATAAAAATTTATTAAAATTACAAAATAGTAGATATGAACTCATAATTTTAAAAATATAATGGGTTCAATGTTAAAACCTCAATAATCGAACTCATACGTGCAAAAGCAAAGTAATGAAGTTGGTTCAGTCGATGCCACTCTATGAAAAAAAACATGGAACTTGGTTTTGTTTTAGATCCTTCTAACAGTATTTATTTTTCTAATTCAAATAACTGAAAAAAATTCAATGGGAAACATTTTACTCCCTTAATGAACTTATCCGAAAAGAAATTGAATTAGTTGCCAAGTTTGAATACTGGACGGTTGGAAAAAAAATTAAAAAACAGAAGCAAGCTCGAAAGCACACATTTGTCAAAATAAAATGCATTATCTAGCATCCCTTATAATACATAAATTTTTAATTTTACGAAAACATAAATTTAAGTAAAGTTATGATTATAAATACCACCTACTAAACCCAAGCAAGAGTCTAACCTTTAGTCTATGTATAAAAGGTTGCATAACAACATGGAAAAAGAATATTGTATAGTCGCTCTTAAGATAATTGTTGAAAAATATATTTTTTTTATATAAATATACATTTATGTATATTATATACAAAAAATATATAAATTTTATACACGTTTACGATTACAACATATAAATAGTTTCGACCGCAGGCTATAAGTAATCTTTGCCCTAATAACACCGGGCCTAGTATTATATGACCCATTCTATTGTCATTCCCAGGTATTTGTTTGATTAGAAAAATAATAGAAGTTGAAGAGGTATCGCCATTTCTCAGTGCAATCTATAGGAATGGAAATCTTAGAAAGAAAACTAAAATTAAAGAGTTATTTGTATGATATACTAGCGAAGGTGAATCACGTACTGCGCACGAGCCCAATATTGAAAACCTAAAACTATGTTTGAGGTGCTCAGATATTTTGTATTTTGTATTTTTTATGAAGGTCTGGAAGAGAATGGTGGAAGCCAAGGTGAGGAGGAGCATGTCTATTTATGAAAACCAGTTCGGATTAATGTTAGGGCATTCGACGGCGGAAGCTATCTATTTGGTGAGGAGACTAGTGGAGCAGTATAGGGAGAGTAAGAAGGATTTGTATATGGTATTTTTTAACCTTAAAAATGCATACGATAAAGCCCCGATAAAGGTTCTATGGAGGTGCTTGGAGGTTAGCGGCGTCCCGGTGGCGTACACTAGGATGATTAAGGATATGTGTGTTGGTGCTAAGACTCGGGTGAGGACTATGGGAGGATAATCGAAACACTTTTCAGTTATAATGGGGTTGCACCAGGGATCGGCTTTTAGCCCGTTCTTGTTTGAAGTAGCGATGGACGTACTAACGCGGCACATCCGAGGGGATGTACCATGGTGTATGTTGTTTGCAGATGATAAAGTATTGATAGACGAGATACGAGACGGGGTTAACGCGAGGTTGGAAGTTTGGAGACAAACCTTGGAGTCCAAAGGTTTCAAGATGAGCAGGACCAAAACTGAGTACTTGGAGTGCAAATTTAGCGACGGGACCCTTGAAGCAGACGTGGATGTGAAGCTCGATACTCTCGTTATCCCAAAGAGAAGTAGTTTCAAGTATCTCGGATCTATTATACATGGTAACGAGGATAACGACGAGAATATCACACATCGTATTGGAATAGGATGTATGAAGTGGAGGCTTGCATCCAGTATTCTATGTGATAAGAATATACCGCCAGAACTTAAGGGTAAATTTTACAGAGTGGTGGTTCGACTGACTGTGCTGTATGGGGCGGAGTGCTAGTCAGTCAAGAGCCCCCATGTGCAAAAGATGAAAGTAACTGAAATGAGGATGTTGAGATGGATGTGTGGGTGTACCAAGAGGGATAAGATTAGGAATAAATTTATTTGGGACAGAGTGGAAGTCGCCTTCGTGGAGGACAAGATGCGAGAGTCTAGGCTGAGATAGTTTGGGCATGTTAAGAGGAGAAGCATTGACACTCCAGTTACGAGGTGTGAGAGTTTGACCATGACGGATTTGAGGAGAGGACGAGGCAGACCTAAGAAGTACTGGAGGGAGGTTTAATTAGGCAGGACATAGCAAGGTTTCATCTCACTAAGGACATGACCCTTGATATGAGGGTGTGGAGGTCGAGGATTAGAGTAGAAGGTTAGTAGATAGTTGAGAGTTCCCCCTTTTCTTACCAGTTGTACTAGTACCACACATGTTCTTTCATATTTCTCAGATCCATACTACATATGTCACGACCCAAAAACCGACCCGGTTGTGATGGCGCCTATCGTGAAACTAGGTCAGCCGACGCAACTCCTGAATCGACCATTTTCCAATAAAAGTTATTTTTATACCATTTATAAATTAATAATCTCATAATAAAATTTAAAAAAGAAAAATGCAGAATAATTACACAAGCCCGACATCGGAGTGTCACTAATCATGAGCATCTACCAAGGTCTGAATACAACAAGAGTCTAAAAATGTACTAAATACAGTAATGAAAATGAGGGGAAGGAAGGAAATGATGCAAACATCGGGCAACCACTTTGCTAACTCCGATGACTCCGCCTCTGAGGAATCAACGCCCGCTACCTGGTTCCAAAATACCTGAATCTGCACATGAGGTGCAGGGAGTAATGTGAGTACTCCAACCCAGTAAGTAATAAGAGTAAATAAAGACTGAGCAGTAGGAAACGATGAATCCACATTTATGATAAACTCAATAAGCACAATTGGCTTTCAAATCAGGATACGAGTCAATCGTCTCATTTAAAATCCAGCTTTTGGTAAAAATCATTTGAAAATGCTTTCCAACAGTTTTAGTAGGGGTTCAATACCATTTATAATAAAAGAGATGAAAACCATAATCGGCCCCTCGGGCGAAACATAGTTCGTATACAGCCCCTCAGGCAAAACTGGAATCATAAACACCTCATAACATAAAAATCTTAGTGGAAATAACAAAGCCAAATCAGTGATCGAATTCTGAACATCTCATAAAAACTCCAACTTAAATGAAAGTTTTTTAAAAGTATTTGTTCAACATTTTCAACAGAGGTTCAGTATAAAGAGGAGTGGAAACAGCAATTACATAAAAACAAGCCCCTCGGGCAAAGCATCACTCACATATGTATACAGCCCCTCGGGCAAGCCTCTCAGTCACTCGAGACTCAACTCTCACCAATCAGCACTCACACTCAATAAGTACCATATAGTGACTGTTGCGGCATGCAGCCCGATCCATATATCGATGCGGCGTGCAGCCCGATCCATATATATATATAGTCGACTGTGCTCACCGGGGGTGTGCAGACTCCAGAGGGGATCCTATAGCCCAAACGTTATATCACTGCGGCGTGCAGTTCGATCCAACATATCGCTGCGGCATGCAGCCCGATCCATATACATATATACATTATATTGCTGCCATAATACCATAGTGAGGTTAAACTCAATCTTTCATAAGCTTGTGGAACACAGACCATCTGGTACTTTATATCTTCTGCAAATCTCGCATTCACTCTCGTAATAGTCGAGCCTACTCTCTTGAGCAACCCAAATTCAAATTGTAAAACATATATTTCCCTGGTAACAGAGATTTTCCAATAAATGAAATAAGGGATTACGCAAACTTCAGAACAATCCGCAGGAGATAACCCACCCGCGTCGCCTCAGCTAACATCTCTTTATACCCTTCCACCAATATAGACACTACACAGTCACTTAATCTTTCTGAGCCTGAACTCATACCGCAACATGAAATTTACTTCACTCCGAACTAGGACATCTGAAAAGATTCTTCACACACCCATAACTCGGGGCTATAAATCAAGATGGAAATCAAGCACCTAATAGTTTTTCTATCCTCCAGCAGACCCTTCTCGTCGCTTCCAAATCATATGAATACATCTCGCAGTCATAACATACTCATCGCATAGCCATCTAACCATCACTTCTACTAACAGGGACACTACCGAACATATAAGTTCAAAAATATGTGCTCACACAATCAGCACCTCGGTGCTCAAGCTGCAAGCAAAACCCGGCCTCAAGTCCTTCAGACTGGCCCAACATTAACGCACAGAAAATCACATCTCATCCCTTGATCAGGGAATCACAAGCCATCGATGCACATCTGATACTGAGCGCTCATGCGCGCATACAAATGCGTGGAAGGAATTCAAAGAGTTATATTTTAAGCTGAATCAATAATGTATGATAAGAATTCAAGAATGTGAAGTTTTTCCTAAAGGTTCTACAGCCTCCCGAGGATAAGTACAGACGTCTCCGTACCGATCCGCGAGACTCTACTAAACCTGCTCATGACTTGTGAGACCTATATAACCTAGGCTCTGATACCAACTGTAACGACCCGGGCCCACATTGTGCATATATTGTCCGCTTTGGGTCCCACCCGCACGATTTTGTTCTCCCCCAGTCCCACTGGGAAAAAGGCCTATGCACATGTAAGTCCAAGTCTTACTAATATAGCCCAGGACTCCCCCTCTCTTTTCCGATGTGGGATTCCTGCGAGCTACAGTCTCACTGCACAGTTGGTATCAGAGCCGACACTCACCTAGTACGATGGGTGGGTACCCACAACGAGGACGTTGTTTCCTATTGGTGGGGGTGAGTGCAGTGGGACTGTAGCTCGCAGGAATCCCACATCGGAAAAGAGAGGGGGAGTCCTATGCTATATTAGTAAGACTTGGACTTACATGTGCATAGGCATTTTCCCCAGTGGGACTGGGGGAGAACAAAGCCGTGCGGATGGGACCCAAAACGGACAATATATGCACAATGTGGGCCCGGGTCATTACAACATGTTGTATAGTTTGTTTTATTTATTATATTCTCTTGTTGTTACTATTTTGGTACTACTGATTCTTTTCTCCCCTCCCCCTTTCTTCCCTTTCCTTTCTTTGTCTTCTTCTTTTCTCCCTCTGCTTCTTCTTGTTCTTATTCTTCTTTTTCTCCTCTTACCTATCTGAGTCGAGGGTCTATTAGAAACAAGCACTAGGTAGGGATAAGGCATGTGTACACATTATTTTTTTCAGACCCCATATGAGGGAATATACTGGGTGTATTGTTGTTGTTGTAATATATTCAAGTATCTTATGAGAATTTTGCAAAAATTTTAACTTCTTAAGTGTATTTTGTATATATTAGCTGATGAATATTTACTCCTTAATTCTCTATATCGTATGTCTTTTTTATTGAATACATATCATATACTAAATAGTGATTCAAAAATTTTATCCAGATTTTTTTGATAAAGTTATGCTACTTGAATTTCGAGTGCGATATTAAAAGTAGTTATCTATAGAAATTTGCTGATAGCAGCACAAATTTGCACTATTTCTTATTATTGAAGGATAGTGAAATCGGTTTTGAGCGCATGTAATAATACAAATAGACATATCACTTGCAACTCAAGAGGTAACTACACTAAAATACTGAACATTGTTGGATTTTTTTTCTATAGCGTAACTATTCTAATAGTCCATTGAATTTAGGGTTAAGTTTGATTATGGTGAATAATTTCATATCAAATATAATAATATATATTAAATCACTAATTGAATTAGTAAGTAAATTAAATATTACTATGTTAAAGTTAAACTAATTAAACTTATGACAGCGTAAGGATTAATAGGTTAGGAAACGAAGACAAAAATAGATTGGAAATTTTATTTTATTTTTAAACTTTGTATTCAATGAAACATTATCACACAAGTTAGAACAAAGAAAATAATATACTTGAAATCATAAAATTTTATATATATTCAAAATTTTGAACAAATTATGCTGTATAAATTGAAACAAAAGGTGTAATATTAAAAATAAGAACAAAAGGCAATAATTTCAGTTGAATTTTCCTAAATTCATTTATGAAAAAATACAAATAATTGTATTTTTTTGAAAGCACTATCAACTACTTAACTTGCAAAATGTTATATACATTATTGTTACTAACTTTCATGAATTCATACTGTAAAATATTTTGATGAATATGAATGTAATTATTAACTTATTAATGTAGTTAAACTTTATCCTAGTATATATTTATATTCATATATTATTTTTTATTTAGTGTATTGTTTCTTCTATGCTTTAACTTGTTAATTTTCTTATACTCGAGCTCAATTGTTGGTTTAATATTTTTACTGTTAAACTTAGAATTTTAGAAACTAGCTAGGACACTCTTCAAACTCTGAATGCATTAAAATTTCAATGAATAGTCTCAATTTTAAAAATAATAAGTCAGTAGGAATAAGACATTCAACAATCTAATCTTATTATCTCATTGCACGGTGGCATTATTCACAGAAAAATAATAAAATCCTAGTAAAATATTAAAGAATCAGTGCAACAACAACAACAACAACAACAACAACAAATCCAGCGTATTTCTATAAATATGGTCTAGGAGTGTAGCCTGTGCGCAGACTTTACCCCTACCTTTAAAAGATAGAGAGGCTATTTTCGGTAGAGCCTCGTATCACACCCCAACCTTGGGAGGTGTGGCTGGCACCCGATGCCCGAAGGCCCGAGCGAACCAACCATGAGATATGATCTGAAATATAATAACCTGCAGGCAGAAGAGCCCAACACGACATATATATATATATATATATATAAACTAGGCCAACAAGGCTG